CTTCCTCTCTTTTTCGAAGTCAGAGAATCTCCGAGAGAGAGATTTCGCTAAAAACGATATGCGTTTGCAATACCAGAAATTTACCATGCCCATATCGATTTGAACGCGAGGTGTTTTTTTGTGTGTATCCCATACTTGTCATCTGATCCACTCGCCTACGAGTGTCCATGGGTGTAGCAATTATAGGCCGCCTCTTAATTGAGTTATGAGTTCTTCTTGTTAGCCGAATTCCCTAAAATGCTGCAACTGTAACGAGGCAGCCTCTTGGCTCCCGACTCTCGACTCTTGGGAATCGAGAAGCGGATTCTGGGGCAAGAAGCTGAGTTGCCTCTTCTCGGAACTGTCGGCGTCGCTTTTCCCGTTTGTGGATCAGTAATGCGACAGAAATGGCCTAATGAGTAAATTAATTGCTCGAAACCATGATCTTGTCCAGTCTTTATTTGATCGCCACTAATTCGCAATAAAGACTCAATTAATCAGCGATCGCAACCGACCCCTGCGCTGACCCTACTTCGACAGTCGTCGATTAATTAGTGATTGATCTGGAGCTGGAAATGCAATGAAAGTGCAGCCCCGACTTTAACTTACTTTTCACTTTCATTGCAAGTGTGTTAACAATTCGAGTGTGGCCCTAATGATGGCCCATGCAGGCTGCCACGATCGATTAAAGTCGTTCACTTCAAAACAAACAAATAAACGAATGGGAAAACTGAAGAGATGAGCTATGCCAGATTAGATGAACTGGTTGATGCTGGTGGCACCTCGAGCATCCAGCTCTCACTTTTCCTAATTACCAAGAGACTATTCGAATACCCTGTAAGAAAAGGGTATCACGGTTTCAGTACTCCTTACTTAACAAACTAAATTAAGACATTTACGACCTGGTCAGATGCGAATCAATAATGAAATGGCCATGCAAAATTCTAGACACAACAACGCTTAAGAGCCGCCACGGGGAATGCCGCAACGGTAAATGGGTCTTCAGACTTCATGACTGCAGATACCCGACTCGAGATTAGAATGAATCATTTCCAGGCATCCTAATTGAGTTGTGGCCACGCTGGCAGGCCGAAATATTAGCAGACGCCTTGTCGATGTGCAAGTTGTCTGAGTTCTGGTCTATAGAGTCCCAAGGTGTGAGACTACTTAGCCGGGCCAACTAAGCGGGGCCAAACTGCAACGATTAGTCGCAGACTTTTCACGAGGAAGTGGACGAAGTCTGGACGAAGGGCCATTTATCAAGAGTGCTCGTGTCTCGTCTCTCTGGGCAAATTAACCGTTCTTTGGCTAACTGACTCACTAACTGACTGACTTGTGGAGTTACTAACCAAGTTGGTGGCTAACGGGGACTCCCACTTTAATTGCTCCATCGATGCTCTCACACCGAAAGTGTTATTATGAGTCGGAATGAAATGTAGAACGTAGTTCTCTAGTTCTCTGGGTCAATGCGAGCACCCGAACTAATCAAAGCCACGTTGAGAAAGGCACGCGTTCACCCAAAGTCAATAAGCTTTCACAAATAACTCAGCAATATTGCACGCACTCGGAATGTGACAAGAACTTGTGAGAGATGTGCCAAATGGATTCGATTGGGGAGTGACAGAACTTGATCTGATCTTAACCTGAACCTCAAGGGTGGACATGCATCTGTGAGAACTCGTACTCGAGCTGAACCTCACGTTCCAAGGGTTCGCTATTCCTATTCCTAGGTTCCTAGGTTCCTAACTCCAGGTTCCAGTTCCATAAAACACAATGGAGCATCGCCCCGCTCAGTTCTATTGTTCTATCGATGGCCATGGCTTGCAAATTTTCGGCAGCTTTAATGTTTATTCATGAATTCCAACATGAAACGGCAGTGCAACGAGGAAGAGACAAGTTCTCTGGCCGGCACAAGCATAAATCAAATTGGCCAAGTCAAGTTAAGACTTTTGGTTAAAGCAGCAAAAATAGAAACAGAAAAACTGCAGCACGCAGTCATGGCCAACTGATTGAGCTGTCGCGTATTTGGGTGAGGTGAGATCGCCCAGTGTCCAAATGGCCATAGAATTTGAGAATTTGAGGCCTCTGGGGTGGGGGTACACCTATTTCTGGCTCCGAACTTCGTGTCTTGGCTGCTTAGGGAAATCTGCCGCGGAGAAAACGAAACGAAACGAAAATTTCCATATACCCTGTCCTATCCTATATAAGGCTCCAGATCTCTGCCATTTTCACGGACTTTTGTCATATCAAATGGTAAATGGTGGACGGCAGTTGGTAAATGGCAAGAAGCTAAAAGGCCCGCCCACTGTGGACATCCTGCTCTGGGTTGGAATAGAAATAGGAATGCATTCATATCGCTGGGAACAACTGGGTCACTTGGCTCGGACAACAAAAGTGCATCAGGAGCAGCATCAGTGGCTCGGCTAACGGAAGACGATTATCAATTTTATTTTGGCTCATATTAATGGCCTTTATTCCACTCGCACTTTAGTCAGCAGACCAGTGGAAAAATTTGAAATGATTTCCATGTTTCTGCAGCACAGTGGTTTTCGGTACCCCATTGTGAAGTATGAAAAGCCTGTTGAAATGCCATATATTTATTTTTTTACTGCGCTACTAATAAAATAATTATAATGTAAATAAAATAATTACGCAAATCGGAGTGTAAAATCATGAGAAAAACTAGTCGAAGAGGAAAGCATTTGGTTTGGTTGGTTTATGTTTTATGGAAATGACAGCTAATAAATATTCCATTATTTGAGAGGAATGTTAGAACTCTTAACTAACGCAAACTAATTAAATGAAAATTTCTATATTCACAGAGACGACGATATGGTGTCGCAAAGATCTAAAGAGATAGTAAACGTTTTATCTGTGCATACTCATAAAAGTTCCTGGGATTTACAATCAAAGGAGGTATATATATATTATCCCTGTTCGTTATGCAGAACAGGTGCATCGTTAATTGGCATTGCAAAAAGTTCACACTGTGCTTATAAACACCTCCTTGAAAAGGGTTTACTTCATAAATGAGCATAAATATAAACTGATCCGATTTAAAGACTTAAGAACTAATTAGTTCCATGGGAAATATTTGTGGCCGAGCTGGGAAGTAGGGTTCGGTGTTTTAAAATTTTTGCAATTTTATTCTGTTCTACCACACAAAAAAAAAATTCGATATGAAAAAGGGTAAACTCTACATCATATCAATAAAAAGCCGATATGATCAATGTTAAATTTATGATTCAATCATATCAGCTTCATATTTTATCATATCACTTATTTATAAAAATACTATTTTAATATGCCAAATTGATTTTTTTTTTAAATAATGTTAAATAAGATAAATTTAATCTGCATTCATATAAATATAATATGAACTTGATCTCTGAAAAATGTAAAATTAAACTTTTTTCTATGCACCTGAGGCGAACGGCTCGGATTTCCCCAACTGTGTACAATGTACATATTTTCTTGGACTTGTTTCGGATTTTCTTTTGCACCACTGTAAATCTCGACTCAATAGACCCGATCACTTGCTCTATTACGATTTTAGCTGCAGCTCCCAAGTGCCCAAGTGAGTGAGCTTCCATCTTTCGGCTGCCGGCGGTCGATTTCTTTTGATGCAGCGCACTGATGTAATGTGCTTGGCCTGCAATCGATTCGAGTTGCATCCACATAACCGTATCATCTGCCATAATGGCATTAACTGCTCTAGTTGAAAGCGAAAAGTACTGCCGGATAATGGGCAATTTAAGTAGTAGTAGTCGTTTTGGCGGAGGGAGCACTAAATCATCGAAAAGTGGTTTTGCAATTGTGTCTGCATATCTGCTGGTTTCCTGATTTGTTGTTTCAATTGTGGGTCACAGCTGCGTGTGCAGCAAAAAGATATTTTCTATATTATTTTTGAGTTGGCATTGGCATCGCACATTCCCAGCATGTCTGAAGTCCATCTTCACAACCACATCCATCTTCAATCCAATCTCCTCATCGTGCAGGCGGAGATTAAGCTTTGCTAATGAAGAATCGTGTGTCTATGGCTAATTAGGCGTATATATCCATTAAGGCTATTCGGCAGATGCCATAAAAAACGCCGGCGAAATTGGGTTTATAGTGCAGAAACTCAATGGTCCATGGCTATTTATATCCGCCAACTGCAAACAAAAGACTCAAGTAACGAACTCGAACTCGTTTCTGTGCGTTGCCCGCTGGTTGTTGTTGTTCTTCTTGTTGTTGGTGTGTGAATTTATGCATAAAGATTATAATATTTTTGCAGGCTTTAACTCAAGCGCACAGTTAGTTCTAACCGGAGGCCCCCGATACGTTCGTTCAATAATTCAAACAAAAAAGTAGCCAGCACATTTTCCCCCATTTTTTTGGTCCACAAAAACGCCCACCTCACCAACTTGGTCCGAAAAACAGCCGGCGGCTTTTTCAAGTCGAGCTGAAAAAATGCAGTCAGTAAACTGAAATTGGGTTGTCCGCTTGACCACAGCAGCAGCAGCCACTTCTCTTGCGCGTTTCTAACAATTTGCCTTGCAATTAGTCAAAATTATTGTGCAATGTTTATCCAACAAGCCACGAGTGACACTTCTGTCAATAAACAATTCATTTGCATAACTCGAGGCACGATTTGCCTTGCTCCGTTGCCAGAAGAAACCATAAACTAAGTCTCCCTCCGCTCTTTTCCTTTCTTTCCCTGGGGGAACAACGAGAGGAATGTTCGGTAGCCGAAGGCTCATCCATGGTCTTCCAAGTGCAAATCATCTTCACACTTCCACGGAGGATGCTCGAATGGCTCGATGACTCTGCATATTCACCTGCATGCCACTGCTAATCGAGGGTATAATGGCTGGCTGATGAGGCGCGAAGTGATGAATGTTTGAGCCGTTTGGGTGGACAAATATGTCGAGAAGGTGGGAGTTTGTACTGCAGAGTTTACGGCTCTATAGAGGATAATAGGTGTTGAGAATAGGTTTTTCTATCTGATTAATGATAATAAAATAATTTCATAGCTTAAATATCAATTCACATTGGTTAGTCATTTACTTAAAGCATGACCCTAAACTTATTTAACAATAAAATTTAGGTTAGACCGTTCATTTTTTCTCATTTTTGCATTCGCCAGCTGATTTACCATCAGTTGATTTACCACCAGTTGATTTAGCACCAGGGCCATTCTTACATTTGGGATTAGTGGGAGTTGTGCCTTAAAAATAATGGTAATATTAGCAGATATTATGGGTGTGTTTGTATTATAACTCACTTCTTCCACATTCGTCTTTCTTGTCCCCTTTTCCTTTGGCCTTATCACTTTTGGAAGCTTGGTCTTTGCAAGGATCGCATTTCTTCGAACAAAAACGAGTACTCGCTTTTGAAAAAACAATAGCACCTAATCTGTTCATAATAGTTAAAAAGATGAACAGCCGAAAAATGTAGTAGTAATTTTAGAACTATGATATCGATTTGAATGATTTCTTAAAGGCTACTAAGAGTATCTAAACTTCGATTCCTTGAAGACTTAAAAAACTTTTCTATTCTCAGTGTTTCTATTCAAGGGTCTACGATAACCAAATAGAAAATGCATCAACAATTGCGCAGATTCGAGTGTTGTAATTGACGGCTGTCAGTCTTCGACTTGATTAACTCATCGATGACTCGCTGGTTCGATGAATGGCTAGTTAGATGGAAGATGGGAGTTGGAAGCCTGCCCCTCGAGATGACCACTCGATTGACAGGCGATGTTTCCAATTTGTTTGGCCGCGCACAATTGATGACTCATAAATCATGTAATATTGACTGGCTTTTCTTTCAGCAGGTCAACCCGTTAAGCGATTCTATATGCAACTAATCATGTTAGGGCCCCGTCTTCAATGCAAGTGATCAATGAAAGTGAGAGTCTGGGGCCACAGAAATAACCCATGAAAAGCGTATCGATTTGAATATGAATACGCAGGCAGCACAAACAAGACTTTCGGTCAGAAGAGAAACAGTAACTTTCATTTCTTAGGCTTTCGGCCAACAAGCGTTCATCATCTGTCTAATTTTAGAAGATCTTTTATTTGCACATATTCCTCGGCAACTATTTTCCCACATTCGTCGTTGCATAACTCTTGAATGATGGCTAGCAACTTTCGTTTTTTTCTGAACACAGGTCCTTCACTTTCAGTTCTGGTTTTCTGTCACCACAACCTACTCCAAAATTCTGAATTAAGAATTATTTCGTTTATGGCCCTATGGCCCTAGGAAAACTGAAAGTTGGAAAGTGTTTTCGTTTTTCCCATGAAAATGAAAGCCATGTGTCCATAAAAGACCATAAAAGTCAGCACCCGGCTAATATTTTTGGCCCTGTTTTACTACCATTTTGTGGGTCATTTGCATATGCGATAAATGCTTTTCGGAAATGCTGCTTATCAGAGGCAGAAAATTTGGAGGCCTAACGGTGAAGGTTTTCGGTTTTATTGCCTCCCTTTAAATTAACTCAGCTTCCGGTGGCCCCTACAAATTGTTATTGATTCGCATCAGGGCAAACGATCGCCTCCCGAATTGATGGGCCACCTGAACTCTGGTTTATGTGCTCCCGGCCAGAAGATCGATCGGCCGATTGTTGTCAAACTCATCAAATACATATTTCAGTCGGTCGTCGGTCGTCTTAGGCTTCATGTTCACCGATCGTCGCTGGAGATCGAGCACATTTATTGCGGCCATTCAGGTTTATGGCCCAAAAAGAGGCAAAGAAATGGGCAACACACACACAGAAAAAATTCTATACGAAATACGGTCATTTCTACCTCATTTCATATCAATAAAAAGCTGATTAATGTAAAATTGATGATTCAAACATATCAGCTTGATATTTTATCATATCATAAAAGTTTTAAAAATACTGCTTTAAAATTCGAAATGTAGTATTTTTGATAATAAAAATATTTTGATATTTTGAAGATAAAAATAAACTTTATTCATATCAAAATGATATGAAAACACACATCAAACTGATCTTTTGTCAATTTGTTTTCTGTGCATATATAAACGGGCATCTTTGGATCGGTTTGCCACCTTTTTTCAGTTTGCGTTACAAATTCGAGCTAGAATATAAAATCCCCTGCTCGTGGCTCTTTCGCAAATACAATTATGCCCGCCCGGCCATTGTTTGGTTCTAATTTAGCGGATTAGTGGCCACCCAGCGAGGGATCCCGCATTAAACAGAGATGGCGGTAATATTCTTTTGCCAATTTACCGAGAACTCTGCGGACATAAGCCGATTGAACATCACACGAATTATACGGCACTCGGAGTCGCACACACAGCGCGAATTCCGTATAATTAATTAATTTACAATTTCCATGCGAGCGGTGGAAGCCGAGAAATGCAACCTTTCCACTGACCCGCTTGCCAAATCGCTTGGCTGCGCCATCGAAAGTGGGCCTCTTAATTGCGGCCATAATTATACGCATTTAGCGGCGGTTTAAACGATGGTTAAGTGCTAGACCGGCGGCTAAAATTCCGCACAAGCCGGCTAAAAGCTAATCGGAGGGCCAAAACATGTCAATTGGGTGAAATTTGGGCTTGAGTCGGTCTAAGCTTTCATCTAATTGAGTGGTAATGGCCAAAATAATAAAAATCAATTAGTCGGGCTCTGTTGGTTTATACGAATTCCGGCATAGTGCAATCCTGGCTGCAGCTGCATCTCATATCTGGACCTGCGGCAGTGGGTTAAGTGCCACTTAAGTGCGCACAATGGATGGAAATTCAATTAACTCGGGGCCATTGATAAAGCAGAGACGACTTTACGGACGGTTTCGGTAGCTGTCGGCGATAAAACTCAAAGAGCGACGACAATTGCCAACGCCACCTTGGCTCCAAAGCGAAACCTCACCCGAGTAACCGAAAACCAAGAACCAAAGACCCGAAACCACAACTCTCGACCAGTTTAATTGCCAAACCGATAAATGGCAGATAGCTCTGGGCCAAAGCATAAATTGGTAGCACAAATCCCAGTTCGAATCCGAATCCGAGTCCAGGAACTCGATCGCTTTGCATTCTAGATGTCGGCGCTTGTCGAGGAATGCCGTTATGCAGCCATCTCGGTTGACCTTTTAGCCCGGCCCAAAACATTTATTTTGTCATTACCCAACTCGGGTGGTCTCCGCCTCCCACTCTTTGAAGACATTGTCTCGAAGCAATTACACAAAAGCCGCTTAGTAAATTATGTACAAACGAACAGGAGAAAAAAATCTGAGAAAATCGCATGAGCAAAAAATAAACCACAAATTGCCAAATCATTGGGCGACCAGCACCCTTCAAGTCTTCCAGTTCTCCCTGAACGGGATTAACATTCGTCTGCCTTTTGGCGGCCCTAGCAAATCTCGGCTTCTGCCCCCCGACTTGCATAAATTTCAGCCGAAATTTTATCGAAAGTGTGCATCTTACGCCCGCTGGAAAAAAGTTAGGAGCTCCGTCTTACCTAGCATGTCTATTTAAATCTTAACATGCCGCTGACAAAATGCTCAGCAATGAAGACAACAGCAGCAGGAAAAGGCAAAAGAATTAGGAACGGCAATAAAAAGCAAGAAAGAAAAGCAACGGGAAGACGTCTGGCCTGGAAATTGTGCCAGTAGTGTAGACATGGCCACATTTAACAGGAGCAGCAGGATCAAGTCTTGTTCGAAGTCCCCCTATTCCTACCCCATCCCACTCCCAATCCTCCAAGTTGTTCCCCCGGCTGTTTAGGCGATGTCACTGCTGATAGGCGACGCTGTCTGGGATCGGGTCATGCCTCAGATGGAGATGAGATGGACCGGGGGAGGTCCACCCCCCTCCGTGGCTCAAAGTTCATGACATTATCCTTCTTTGTCTCCATCTGCACATCCCAGAACCTTGTTAATTCTGCTTGTATGATGCGATGTTCTCCTCTTGTAGCAGAGATGCAAGATTAACAAATTGTTTTCCCAGATTGTGCCAATTCCTTGTCCACACATTACACTCCATCCATTAATCTTTCGCTTGCTTAAATAGAAAGGTGTTCTTGATGCCATTCCAATTTATAGAAATGGCATGGGCGGGCTGTGATCTGATTCCCTTCGATTCTGTGACCTGATTATCATAAATCATCTCGAGCTAATTGATTCGCACGAAAGAGGAAAGCAAGAGTATTCTCCCTCTATAAGACATCGGATTGTGGGTCACAGCAGTTCCCCAGGTTGTCAATTCCTCTGCCATCACAATTTATGGCTATTTGCATGAATCTCGACTGGGGAGAATGTCATCGTTGTGCGTGAGATGAAATCGCAATCGAACTGAAGTCGAAACCAGTTGAAAGTTGGAGGATAACAAATGAGAATGCCGGGGGTTAATGATGCTTGGTGTTATCTATTTCTACTTCACCGATGTCAGCAATTATTGGCTATTAGAGGTTTCACTTTTAACAGGTCCGTGGAATTTTACAAACCCCGTATTTTTCTTTGTTTCTGCGATTTAATGAACTTTCATTTCCCGTGCCAAACATTTGCAATTCGCTGGCCAGTTTATCGTCACATGCTGCATTATACATCCGAATGGGAATGCGAAATGGAGTATGTATAGAGTATAGAGTGTCCCCAAATCCAAATCCAATTCCTATGCCAGTGATGCATGGCCATCGCTCATCTGCCTGACTTTTTGCTTTTGTCTCTGGTCAGAATCGTGACGCGAATGCAGGAATATCGAAGGATGTCGATGGAGTGGAGATGGAGCTGCAGAAGAGACCTTGAGGAGGATGGAGCCAGAACCACTGGAAGATGTGTGTCGATCGCGGGGATTGGGATTTGATTTACTTGAGAGCCCGGTCCGCTTGACACTCGACATGAGTGAAACGGTGGCGAAGATTCGTGGCGATTCTACATTCTCCTCTTCGCCAGGCATTATTTCATTAAATCCGTACCCGTTTGATTAGAATCACTTTCGAGTTCGCTGGGAAGTGAAACTTCTGCACGACGCACTTTCGATGGCACGTGAGACAAACAGAGTGCATTGGGAACTGACCATGAGAGGGTTTTGTATATTGTATGGTATGAATTCACTGGTTACAATGGAGTGATATGGGAACGGCTCTCCAAAAAAGACCTCTTCCCCGCCAGAGGGTCAGCTAAACAGAAATGAAATGAAAATTGCAGGCGGATAGGTTTCACTCTTGTGCGAAGAAGAGCAGCGTCTAATCACAAGGGCAGCACCACTCAACTCCCATCTGAAATGGAAAAGCCAACTGCAAACTGCAGATGCAACTGGTTGCCGAAATGCAACGTGAGCCACATGCAACATGCAACATGAGGCCAA